CTTCTCACACACACTTGCCCGTATTAACATAAATAATATCTCTCATATTATATCACAGACTAAAAAATGCTTTGGTCTAAAAAATCTTTTTCATTCATACCACATATTCTAATTCGACAGATAATTTTTATAACAAATATCAATTCGACCAATACGATAATAAAATATTCAAAGAAATCAAATTTTTCATGCGAGTGTGCGAAATGGATTAGCGCTAAAGCTGGGGCCGCCATAACTTTTTCATAATAAAGTAAACATAAGTTAAATGAAAATATGTTACAAGGAACCAATTGAATCTAAGCAGATAATATTTCAGTAATTTTTTTTTTATAATAGATTTAAAAATTTGAACATTGATCAATTTTAATCAATATTTTAAATCATATATACATATAAATGTATAACATATATATATATGATTATACATATACACACATATATACATATATTATATATATACATATGTATATGATTATACATATACACATATATACATATATATAATAATAATTTATAGGATATCTCTTCCTACATTGTTATTGTTTAATACTTAATGCATACTAGGTAAGCTCTGCAGCCTTCGTTTGCTGTAAAATCATAATGAAAACGCGAACCCCTTCGGCGCACTTCCATGTCGATGAAAATTCGCAAAGCATTTCTTTCGTTTAATAAGATTTAAACTAAAATTCTAGCACCTTTGTTTAAGACGCTTTATCAAGTTGAATTTTAAGGCTACTGTTTAGATATATTATATCTGCATTGTTTCAGAATAATCGCCTTAAAATTTTACTTGTACAATACAAATATAAAACGGAAAAACTAACGAGATTTTGATGAATATGTTTAATACAGCTATAAGACTGTAACAGTTTATAGTACTCTACAATTGTAACATGTGATATCTCTTACAAGGTACTTACATTACCAATAACCCCACAGATCTGTTCTTTACTCTCAACGTTCAATTTGATGATAATATTTGAACAAGTGAAATAAGTATCAATTTTAGTTTAAAATTAATGTATAATTTTGTAGATATTTGTTCTTTCTGTTTTCGTTCAATTGACATACTGATTTTTTTAAAGAAAATGGTACTCCATGTTATATAATGTAAAAAAAGATGTAAGCTTGTTAACAACAGTAATTTGAAAATGTCATTAACCGATAAAGTACAAAAAAAGTATGTAAATATCTAATGCCGATTTAAAAAAAAAAAAAAAGATCAGCATGCAATGTACTCGTTAAATTCATTTCAATTATTATGAAATCACTTGTTATTGTTCGTTTTTAATGCTCTTTGTAATTTACTCTTGCGTGTTCATTGATTTGTAGCAAAATACGTACATATAACAATTTTTCGTTTCAACACAATTCATTTCTTTATTTCTTTGTTTATTTATTTATACTCAGTATTTAGTCGAACGTAAAGAAATGCACAATTATAAAAGGAAAAATATGAAAGAATAATGCGTCTTTATTTTATTTAATATAACGCTCATATGCAGATAATGCAAAGTAGGAAATAAACTTTTCAAATTTCTACTGAAAAAGAAGGCGAAATTTTAAACAATACTGTTAAAAATACGTACAAAATTTAAAATGAAACAAATCAGTGGCACGTCTTTAATATCTTGTTACGTGATGTCCTTATTTATATAAATAGGCAAAATTTACAGTAACCATGCAATAAGCATTTCCTTATTTTATCGATGTTGAATATCTGAAGGAAATCAGGTGCAAATCGACAGATTGTTTATAACGCTGTAGTCACTTTCTAACTATTAGTGTTTAGAGTTCAGAATACTAACCTGGTACTAACTATTATTTCTTATCGTACGTTATCACTTTATAATAAGCACTTCAATGAATCATCGAAATAACAAGAATCTTATCAAAAACAATCTAGTTAAATACAATAATAGAAATTATCGTTGAAAATATTTCGTATAAAATATCATCATTACGCGCAACGACTATTTTCTGTCAGAGTTAAAGAGAAATCAATTTTTCAATGAACTGAATTCAGCATTCTGAGAGTACCTCAGAATAGAGCTTCGCAAACATGTCCTATATCAGTTTGATGCTTTGATTTAAAATAGGTCGTTGACCGATTATAATTAATAGATCAAAGTCAAGAATCAAAGTCAAGATATTGCGATCAGAGACATCATTCTCATTCTTCTCTTAAAATATTTTGATTTTCTGGATAAATTAAAATTATCATATTGCCTCGTTTTCTGTTGTCAAAAATGTTTTTGGTTGTCACTGCTCTTGCGCAATAGCATTTTTTATAATCACGTGAATGTTGTACAAAGGTTCGGTGGTACATGTAATAATCACATGTAATAGTCATTAGATACTGCGTCAAGCATTTTTAGCTACAAGAGCATCGATCAGTCGAAGCTTCGCTTTAGCCTGTTTATATGATTCATAAACGGTTGTGACTTGCGGGCCACGATCTTCCCTTTGCATTCTACGGCCAGCACGAGCTTCAAATTGTGCTTCTAATTCTTTCAAAGCACGTCGCAGACGTTTTTTCTCTTCTCTGGTTAATTTTTGTTGCATCAATAATTCCTCTCTAAAATCAAATTATCCGATTTGTTAATACTTCCTTTCTTTTTTTTTTTAAGAGAGATTTTAATGAATTACTGTTAGAAACTCACTGTGGAAGTGCATGAAGACTTTCGTTGTTACTACGGCTTCCTTCGCTACTGCTGTGCTGACTATCACTATCAGTTGGTAATTGATCTATCGAATCTATACAATCCAAAATACCTCTATGTGACATATCAGGTTCACTAGCTCTCCTTTCTGTATCAGAAGGATTATTAGGTAAATTGGACGATGTAAAATCCATTGCTTCATGCTCCAAAATGGTAGCTAATTCTGGAATGCTATCTTTATTTCTACTCTGCAAGAGAAACGAAAACAAATTTTAAAGATAATTTGCAGTTGTACGTAGCAATTGCACATAGATTTATGAAATATGCTGCTTACCACGCCTGCCCTAATAAGCAATCTTTTCAAAGTTCTATATTTATCATATAGAGGTCGTACGATAGCTCTGTCTTCTTTAGAAACTGGTCTCCCAAAAGTATTTTCAATGTGAAGCAAAGCTTTCTGAACAGCAGTTTTCTCATCTATTAGTTGCTCGTAGGTTAATTCCTCCATACTCTCGGGTCTGTTATATTTTAATCTCTTCTCGCTTAGTTTCTTTTCTATCTCTTTTATCATTTCTTCCATTGACACCGCCCTAGACTTTTCTTGGCTATTATTGTTGTTTGTTGGGCTACCGTTAGTTACTCTCGTTCTGTTGTTTGCATTAGCTAATAACGCGCTGACCGGGTCTTCCTTCAACAACTTATGCTCTTTCCGCAACTTGCTCAATTCTGTACACAATCGTTTGATATCTTTGTTGCTCATTTTGTCAGAATGGCTCGGACGGTAACCAAAATTTTCCTCAAATTCGTCCTCGTACTTTTTTATTTTTTTCTTCAAACCATTTATATATTTGGTTAGATTCTTCAAACCAAGTTCCGCGATGTTCGAGGCACCTGGCTGCATTTCATTTTCAGAATAAAAACGTCTGGGCAGCAATAAAGAATTTCGCGGGGAAAGCATAGCTTCTACTCGTGCATCGGCGGCTTCACTCTAGAAACGTGCATGAGATTAGTATGTAATCATCGTCATTGAAAATGATTGGTAATTGAATTTGACATGTTTTTAGTTTTGCTTACATTCTCCTGCCGTTGAAAAGTCCAATTAGTTAAGCTGGGATTATTCAGATCTTCATGGCT